GCCCCCTCTGCAAGCAACCCATTGTCTGAGGAAAATTTTAGAATGATGGAACTCAGACAGGTCATTCAAAAGCTAGAAAAAAAGATAGCGTTAAGAAAATACACAATGGAATAGTTGTGTAATCTTGGTTGTACAGGGGAAAAGGGATACAGAGCTCGGTCAGTACCACAGGGAGAACAAAGGAGGTTCTAGCTTAGTTTACTTTTTCACAGGAGTGGAGATGCAGTTGTCTATGGTAGGCCAGCTCTGCAGCTCTTTTTATTTGGTTATTATGATTTCTCAGGGTTGTCTTTACTGCCTCAATCCACTTTTTGCGTGGAAGTTCCAAAAGCAGGAAGAAATGGTCAGATAACGTCACTTTTGAAAGAATGAAAACCACCGGGAAAAGCAAAGAGCTATCGACCTAATATCACTAGCAATGTGCTTACTGAAAGAATGGTAAACATAACCGCCTGCCTCCACTGTAACCTATATAAAAAGCCAACAGATTGAACCTACTCCACACACGCTTCAGAAAATGTAGCAGAAGGGAAAACCAACTTTTCAGATTACCTCAAGACATCGAGAATGTCTTTCAGGAGGTAACATACACTGTCGCCATCTTTGTAAACCTCCAGCAAACATACGATAGATCATTGAGAAAATGTCCATTCATACAGATGATGGGCCTCGGGATACACGACAAAATCTCTAATGAATCAAAATGTTTTCTTGCAGACCGAAACATCAAAACTCCAGAGGTGAACGCCAACTCCACGAGGGAAGAGCTCGGGGATGGCCTACCTCAAGGTTCCTATCTGAGTTGCAATATTTTGTTCCTAATCGGATTAAAAGGTGCAACGAGCATGTTGAAGTCGGAAAAGACTCTCTCTGCTGGTGATCCTGCCCTCAGGCAGACACATCTCAGAACGGTCGTAAAAGCAAGGAAATTAGACGAAGAACCCAAGAGGCTCTTCAGTTGCTGTCAAGAATGGAAACTTAAAATAAACTGCACCAAAACAGTACATGTAAAGACCATCTTTACAAAGAGCTATTTAGACAGTCAAAGAAAAGCTCCAAATGAAGACAGGCAGGCTTAATGAGAACCTCCATGAAGATGAAGAATCATCATATTAAGGTCGAGTCAAACTAGGCTAAGTCTAACAATGGAAATCCTAGTAGAGAGTATACGCATCAGGGTGAAGAGAAGACTATAACTTAGATAGAAAACCCAAACAAGTCTCCCCCCCCCTAACACAA